GGGACTAAGAATCCTTTTTACACTTGGGTGATTTTACATCTTAGTTGATTTAATCAGAAGAGTTTCAAATTTTCCACTGCTGGATGCTGTGTATTGATCCTATCAAGGGTAGAAAAGCTTGGCAAATAAAAGCTCATTCCAAGTATCTTGAAGCCCAGGTAAACACCAGTGCACACAATCGGCATAGCTCACGGGGTTTGCTAACTGTTCTGGGGTTAACCGGCTCCATTGTTTCTTGTAAATAGATGTATGTGCATCTTTTCTGTAACTTGAGAGTTGCGTGATGTTGAGAAACGTAATTGGAACCCTCGATTTGCTGAATACTTCACCAATCACTCCCATTATACTTTTTCGACTGTCTGATCCCCAGTATTCATGATCTTCTATCAAGGTTGTTTCATTGTAGCAGTTGCCTTTTGGATCTCCTCCCCATTCAATGCTCCTGCAGAACACAGATATCAAAGGGCCGTGAGATATAGTGAGGTAGGCTAGTAACAAATTTCGTTAGAGATAGAGTTTGAGCTCTGTATTTGTACTAGCAGGAACAACTATGACTGTCAAGATGAAAACACTTATAGGAAACCGGTTCAACGTAACTTCATCTAAAAGCACTTCTGAAATAAGAAACTCTTTTAAAAATTAGTTTTCAAACAAAAATAAATGTGGCTTCCACCAAAAGCTTTTCTACAGATAACAAAAGCAAAAACAAAAGTCATGTCAAACGGACCCTAAATATTGTATTACTTACTTTTCATGTGAAGGCGACATGCTGGTAAAAAATACTCTTGTTTTATTGGGATCCATATTCTTCTTCACCCATCTCAACATGCTTTTCATGGCCATACGATAAGCATCATCCGTTGGGAGTGTCACGATATCCTTCTCTTCATCATCAAAAGATCCTTGCCTGTACAAAGAAGTTTTCAAGAACCAGAAAAAAGGCAAGAAAATAATATGTATTTGGGTGTGGGAATTTACAGAATCTTGAATCTTAGGCCAGTCATCCACCATAGATAAGTGTTGAACACAATTATATCTGCTCCTTTCCAGTTTTTTCCATGCTTATTTATCGACCCTTTGCGAACAAGTCTCTCAGTTACTCTGTGAATGACTGCATCATCTGAGTTTGATTCCAGAAGAAATGGTGCCCAGTAGAATTCTATTGTAGCATTGTAATCCTACACACATATATATATTCAAGAAAGATTTACATACATATCAGTATTTGACGGAATAGAGAAAAAATAGAATTCTATACATTGTATCTTGTATTTCTCTCTTGCACAATAGAAACTAATAGATACTATATGAAAGAACATTCTTAACCATGTCACGGTTTTGAAAACTTTGGTACGTTGGACTGAATAGGATTAGAGGTGTAAAGTAAGCTGAGTCGACAGGTTGAGTGTAGTCACATTCCATAGTCCATATCACACTTGCCACGTGGCCCCTTTCTTGAACTTCATTTTTCAAAGAAAATGGTACTTCTTAAAAATATAACGACTATTTAGGTGGATGGTCAGAATTAGGCTTTGGGACGGAGCGTTTGCCCAATCCCATTGGCTGGAAAAGCTTTGCTCTTTACCATTTATGCCTTCACAATTGTAATGAAGTGAAGACCAAATTGTATTACAATTGTAATGAAGTCAGAAGTACTTTGTTTGTAAACTAATAGCAATTTAATTGAAGTAAAGAAAAGGTCCAGCCGTTCTAAGCAAATCTGTATTTAAAAAAAAATAATAAAGAAGGAAAGTTTAGGAAATAGAATATAAAAAAATAATTGCCAAAAGGAAAAAGAGAACGATTGTATTGGTAAAAAGGAACAAGACATATTGTACAATCAGGTTTACTTTATTAAAAGGAGTAGTTCAAACTCTTATATATTGGTCTATATTTCGATATTTAATTGATGTGAGATTTATCCTTAATTGTGTATTTATACAGAATTACATGACACACGGCGGAGAGCAAAAGTTTGGACACTAAAAATAGGTACAAGTACAAATATATGTATCCAGTACTAAATGTTTTAGTTTTGTGTTTGATTGTGTAAGGAAGATTTTGTATCATTTGGTTTTTTGAGTCGAATGATTCTTCTTTTCTAATAATTATCAAGGGTTTACTCAACCACGTTTAGTTTGTGTTCCTCCCTTTTTTGGTCATTTTCATTTTCTCGTTTTTTGGTTTCGGTGGAGTTTGTTGCAGGAGATTTAGGAGATTATGTTCAATTTATTTAATTGAGCGTATCAAACAAATTAATAATATTGAGGAATTGAATATCACCTTGGCCGTGAAAACAGTTAGAGGACCCAAAGTTTTCATGAATTTGGCATCTTCAGGGATGACTCTATGTAAAAGACATATCATTGAAACGTACTGACCCCGATTTAATGAATCTCCGACGAACAACATTTTCTTTCCTCGAAGGCTTTCAAGCATCAATGTGGCATTGAAACTGTAAAATTTGTAATAATTAACAACGTTAATTTCCATAAGAACATAACAAAACAAACATACTCCAAACCTCATAATTTTTAATTTTGTTTTATTGAAGTCCATGTGGGCCGAGTTAATGGGCCTGACTAAGTGGACAACACTAAAGCGTGCTGGTCCTGGCAGCCTGGCCCACTCTTGAGGGTGACGTTGATTTTATTTTGACTTTTATTCAACGTCTCATATTAAATTTATTGTGTTTTTATATCAATTGTTGGAAACCTCAAATGAAGTTGAAAGTGAGCCAATAACATTTGAACAAGAATCTTTGTCTGGAGTAACGACATAGTACAAATTTTAGCCATTGCATTTCTCAATTCTCTTGGAGAGGAATGAAATAATTGCGATTTGTCTTGGACTTTCAATTTTTTTGTGATGAAAGAACCTCTAATTCATATTTGATTTTGTTAAAGTAAATCAGATTTTTAATAAATTTTGATAAAAATTAATTAAATCCCTCTTGGTTTATTTAAAAAATTTGATAAAAATTTAAGTAAGTATCATCGATTAATTTAAACTACACATTTTATAGGATTTACAACTTTTACCAATTTTTTAATAATATATTTCTCTACTTTTATTAAAATCTACTAAAATCTTATTTTTTAGTAAATCTGAACAAGGACTAAATGTGTGACTAAAAGTTGATAGACGTTATAAATCTCATGAAATATATATGGCTATAATTAATTGTCGATTTTGACTTGAAATTTTTAACTAAACCAAACTGGTGCTAATCAAATTCATGGATCACTCTTTTCAAAATAGATAAATATTCATTGATTGCATGCGAAGCAAAATGCAGAAAAAATATTGACTGATCCATATTATTTTCAAAATACATTTTTCTTTTTTTTTTAATCACACATTTTTCAATAAAATAATATTACACACAAACTCAAATTTTTTCTTTATTTATTAATCACATATTTTTCATCAATCTATTATTCCAAAATACATTCTCGAAAAAAAATGAGGTCAAACGCACATAACTCAAATTTTTTCTTTATTTATTAATCACATATTTTTCATCAATCTATTATTCCAAAATACATTCTCCAAAAAAAATGAGGGCAACCGCACATCGTTTCGAATGCCAACATATGCACTTTTCGTAAATATAAAATAATAACTAACCTTGGAAGTGAACAACCATGAGGTTGCCATCTCCAGTGCTGATGCTCCTTTTCCGGCCGGCCATGTTCTAGACATGTCAACTGCGGTTGAATGTACGGACACTCCCACTCCTCGTAAAGCGGCCGAGCCTCCTCGTCTCGTACCCACCTCCCATTGAAAACATCGCAGCCCCTCTCAGTCTCTCCAATGGCGAAAGCCAACTTTTCACTGTTCTTCTCTAACACCACACAAATTAAAAGCCCCACGCTTTAGCAACACGTATACACTGCATAATTATACCATGTAAGCATCTATAGTACACTGGACTAGTTAGAAATCAACATGATGATAAACGGACAAATTTTAGCACGTGTGTATTTTTGTGTGTGTACGAATGTAGAATAATGGACAAACTTTAGTTTTTTTTTCCTCTTCGTGCAGTCTTCTCTAGTCTAGCATACGGAACATGCGCACGGTTTTTAAGTTTCTTACTGGTTGAAATGGTGTGTAGGTGGCTATGGTGATCAGAATCGAACTGGCCAAAGATGCAGCTGAAATCTTCGCCGTAAAGGATGGTGACAAAGAGGATGAAGGCTAATAAGGCGAAGAGAAAAGGCGGGATTTTGCGCAGGGGGATGGCGCTGGAGGTGGAAGAGGACGGCGGTGGCTTCATCAGTTTGAAACCCTTTTGGCCGGCCTCTCTGTTTTCTTTGAACTTTGGTTTGTCAAGTGTGGGATAAATACAGGAATAGTATTGGTAGAACTTAGGAGAAATTTAATAATCGTATTAGTAAAATGTTGCCGTCTTAGAACATAAGTAAAGAAAAAGAAATTGAAATTTGTCAGTTATATGTTTGAGAATTATTACACTTTTAACGACTATGATAAGAGATAATGTCCTAATTCAATAAGGATGGACTATTTCATTATGATGGTTTGAAAAGTTGAAAATTTGCTTGTTTTCTAAGATAAGAAATATTGCGACAGATAGAAAATCATTTTCGTCGACCATTGGTTCAAGGAAGTGCACAAAGATATAATGATTTGGTGGGGTTTAGGTAGGAAAAATGTTGATTTTCTGGTAATTTTCAATTTCGTTAGTTGTCATTAGTTTAGGATCTTTTTATTTATGCCATCATCCACACGTTTCTCGAATGACTTCGCAAAAATAAGTACTAGATTACTTTTTCGAAAAACCATGACAACTACATCTTTCGTCATGGTCGAAAACTTGAAGTAAAGGACATTGCACTTGTTCGGAAAAACACGTACATAGGCTAATTATATTATGATTTTTGACTGTTTGAGTTCAGTTTTAAAATATTAGCATTGTTAAAAATATAATTTGAACCCCTAAATAACATTTTTGATTCGCGATTTTAATGAAATTTCTGCAGAATTATATCTTAAAGGCAGCATAGCACAACATTTAGTTTATACATAATTTATATTAGTATTTTCTCTATTTTATATTGATTCTTAAAGGATGGCAGGAAATTAATTACGTTCTTATATTATGTTAATATGGAGACTTGAGAAGGGAGGGTATTTGGTGGGGATTAAAATTAGGAGCTTGTTTGGTAGAGATTTTTGGGGGAAGAATTGATTTTTGAATAGTGATATGATGGGAAATACGTGGTTGAAAAAAAAAATTATTGATGTGATGAAGAATATTATTTTATTAAAAAATGTGTGGTTGAAAATGAAAATTGATTTGAAAATTGATTCTGAAATCACTACCAAACACCGATTTTTAGTAGATTTTGATAGAAGTTTTTGAAATGTGTTGTTGAAAAGTTGTGGTGACCATAGAAGATGTGGTTAATATTGGTTGTTTAACTTTGATTTGGATTAAAATCAGATTTTAATCTGGACCAGACAGGGGCTTAGAGATAATATTCTTTGAAAGAGGCTAATCAACTATGAAGGAAGTCGCCTTGGCTCAAAACTCTTGTATTAGAGCAAATTATAGATTTTTTCTAGTTAAATTCTATTTGTTTATTGACTTTTTCCCCATCAAGTGTAAACCCCTGTTCGGTAGGGATCAAAATCAGTTTTTTAGTAGATTTTGATAAAGTTGATGAAATGTATGATTGAAAAATTGATCGATTTTTTAGTAGATTTTGATAAATTTTCCACATCTACGGTTCCGATTGTTGAATGGAACGGTTAAAGAAGCGTACATTTACGTTAGAGCTGCAATTATACCCAAGTTTTACAATAATGGAGAATGAATAGAAGGAAGAAATAAACTCAAACCTAACTAGCATCCACCAAACTACTTTTATTTATCTTTACTCTTACATTTGTGACACAATATTTAATTTTTGCTCCATTGATTATAATTTTTTCCATTGTTAGTGCTAGAGAGCATCTGTCATGCCAACCTTCTGTTTGCTGTCTGATGCAGTTTCTAAATGGTTTTTTCGATCGTGCCGTCTGATATGGAATCCCCCTCTTATGATTTTCTAGACGTGGTATGAAATCTCCTTTTGTTTGACCTAGATTCTCTTTATATAGTCAACAGTATGCCTTGGAAATTCAATTTAATTTCCCAAAGTGCCCTTCGATTTCAAGAAAAAATTACAATCATGATCTATCACAGAGTCGATTGTGGGCATGGCATGCATCGTTACGACCATCAATGACAACCAGGGGAGTCGGACAAAACTCTCGAATCAAATTAAATCGAATCGAGCGGTTCTTCTTAAATTAAATACCCGAACGGTTTGATTCGATTTTCTGTTCTAGACGAAGAACCAATGAGAACCAAATTTTCTTATTTTTTTAAATTTTTTTATCTTAAATAAGTCAAATTATTTTATTTTTTCTAAATAAATTTCCTAATTAATTTAGTTTAAATCCAAAATATGATTTTATTATTTCTAATTTCCAGTCAAGCCAAACTTAATTAAATTTACCTAAATTTTACACAAATCTTTTATTCTATCATAGTATTGTTTATGTTGTTCTTTATTATGAACTCGTCATCTTCCCCTTTCTATGATTTTAACAGTTAAATTTATGAAAAACTCAATAAAGAGAGATGTAAAAGATATCATGAGATTAAATTACGTTATTTTGTAAGAGTTAAGATTGAACATTCATAATCAGATTAATGTAGCGTTATTGTAAATATAAATATAATTATTGTACGCAACTCAAAAATTGAATAGAATCGATCCAAACTGAATCGAATCGAATCGAACATGAATGGTTCCATAATTAAATTTGGATCTGACGGTTCCATTAACTAAATAATTGATAATTCAAGTTTGAATCGAATCGAACCGGATTATATCCTGTTTTAAAATCTAACTAAACCGAACCGAATCAAACCATGTTCAACCTTAAAATCTCCTTAAAAACGTCACAAATGCGGTCACGGAATAAAAAGCTGCAGCTGCAATACACTTTTCCTAAAATGTGCTATTTGGTCCCCCCAATTATTTGAAATTGGCAGTTTTAATCCTTATACTTCAAACGTGTATAACTTTTGATCCACAATTCCAATTTGCAATCCGTGTTTTGCCTTCAACTCTGAATTTAAGTACCTTTCCAAATGGTATATCATTTTCTCTATAAAAAATATTTATACCAAATTTTGTGAACTAATTTCTCACGTTCTCTGCAAATTGGTTATTGTTTTTAATTCTTCGACCTTCCAGAATTTAATCCATCACTTCACATCTTTATTATTAATTCTAACCATATTGGTTCATATGGGATTCTTTTTCAATGTTTAACCACCTTTTCTCGTATCCAAGTCACGGCACTCAAATATTTCATTTTTTTGTCTTTTTAACGCCCAAATCTTTTCATTTCTCTTGATTCAACTCCAAGTTCGGGTTGTCACCTAGAAAAATAATATATATACACTAATATGAGTTAAAACTTCATCCAAATAATTAAATTTGAGTAAATTTAAGGGACTAAATGAGCATGCAAAACTCTCTTACCACTGGGTTGATTGGTTAATCTTCTTGAGGCAACTGGAATTGTTGGTGGATTGTGAAAAACCATCATTTGTAGCAGTAGATTTAGTTGTTTTGATGTCCAAAATGAGAAGAGGCACCTTTGAACCATCAGTGTGTAGTATCTCGATTTCTTTATTGCATTTAGGGACTGGAAAGCTAGCAAAAATGGTTAATTGTCTCGCTTTCCTTTCTTATATTTAGTGTACAAGAGAGGGTTTTGTCGTCCTTAGTCACATTAATCTAGCGGTATACAATGGGATGCGGTCCTCTACTCATCACTTCTTGACCATTATTGGCTAAGGAGAGGCGGTGTGATAGCGTCACCATGACCTAGTAAGTAGCTTGTCTACTTAGGTCATCATATCTTAACAGCTGACAGGGAATGGAAGTGTAATTTTCGAGCATAATGAATCTTGAGAGACATCATGACTAATAATTTAGTCACTAGTATTTTGAAGGTAACGTATTGCTCGACCTTCGACATGGAGATCTGAGCATTCGAATTTTGACTTGTTTCAGGAGGAATATTCTGCCCAATCTTTCCGTGATCTCGGGTGGATTTGCCTGATTCACTTGACCCAACATTTATGCCAGATCTTTTGAGGATGGTGTTGCTCCTTTCATAATTTGACCTCCACAACTACATGTGAATGTAGTGGACCCACTTTGGTTGTCATCTAGATTAAATTGTCCCAGAATGACATGAGACCACGACATGACAAGTTGTGAGCTTTGAAACCAAGTTTAAGAAACAGATAAATGAATAAAGAGATCTTTTTTAGAAAGTGTTCGATGAATATTATTGATGGAAGAATGTATTTAAATAGTAATGTGATGTAAAATGTAGTTAAAAAATAAAGAAAATTTTTGGATGCGATAGAAAATATTATTTTATTAAAAAATGTGTGGTTGAAAATGAGTTTGAAAAAATGAATTTTAAAATAATGTGGATCAAACATGAGCTTAATCTTTCACGTAATTTCTATGCGGTGCTATAGAAAAGAAAATAATAAAAGGATGATTACCCAAATGAGGTTCAGTGACTCAATTGAAATAAAATTAAAATTCAATGATTGAAATGAACTTTTGTTGAATTTTCAGTGTTCGCATACACAGATTAGATGCTGGTACTCCGTCAACCAACCGCCTTCGTGCCTATTTCATAAACCCTAAACCCTCCTAGGGTTTAGTCGTCACCTTCGTTCTTCTCCAAGCAGAAAAGAAGCAGAAGAAATCGAAAATGAGCAGCTTATTTCTGCAGAGGAAATCTTCCTCATCCAAAAGGCTCGCTCTCACTGCGATCAACAGTCTATTATCTGGGAATTCAATTACCAGAAATTCCGTTGTTTCTCCTAAATTTCAGAATTATGTCGCCACTTCCAGAGAAAGGGCACCAGTGCCTTCATTTGCACATTTCTATTCAGCTACGAGATGTTTTCACGCGGGCCGGGCCTTGCGGGCTGAGTATGCAGTGGCTGATTTATCTGATGCGGATGACAGGAGATCTTCGAGTGGGGTTGCGGATGACGGGCTTGAGATCGCGAAGCTTGGGATTTCGCAAGAGATTGTCTCCACTTTGGCTCGTAAGGGTATCACTAAACTCTTCCCTATTCAGGTATAGTAAATAGTTGTAATATTAGAAAGCCTCAATTTCCATTTTGTAACAGAGAGTTCTGACATTTTACATCGTAAATACGTTAAGGGGCTGAATGTATTGATTTCTTATATTTTCGTGCTTCATTTTATCATTTATGAAATTTCTGATGCTCATTCTTATCATCAGAAATAGCTATGGCATTAAGTACTAAAATTTCAAGCTGTAAAATGGAAATGAATATTGAGACTTACTGTCTTGAAAGGTGGACCATGTTAAGAGGATTAACCCAATCCCTTAGAAGTTGGTTTATATTTTCATCTTTATTCATTGTGTTATTTATACCTTAACAATGAAAACAAGGAATCATAATGAGTGTAAAACCCGAGTCATGGGTTAAGGAATTCTTGATACTTATAATAAAGCTATCTGAATTTCAGAATTTTTCCTTTTCTTATTTATATATTCATTTTGATCCCTTTTTTGTTGATCAAAGACTTCATTGCTTTTATTTTATTTTAGTTTTAATCTTATTCTTTGAGTTTTGAAGGAAGGATTGAGTAATGTTCTCTCTGGGTACAGAGCGCTGTTCTGGAACCAGCAATGCAGGGGCGCGACATGATAGGTCGAGCAAGGACTGGAACAGGAAAGACATTAGCTTTTGGTATTCCAATCATGGATAAGATCATTCAGTACAATGAGAAGCACGGGTTCGTTCTCTTTGATTATAACTTTTTTTGTCCATCCTACTTGAATGTCACGTTAAAAATTATGTTCTTCTAATAGCTTAACATTTCTGCTTTTTTTTTTCCACTATTTAGGCGAGGAAGGAATCCGTTGGCCTTAATCTTGGCACCAACTAGAGAACTTGCACGTCAAGTGGATAAAGAATTCTATGAGTCTGCTCCTGGCTTAGATACTCTATGTGTTTATGGGGGTGTGCCCATTACACGCCAAATGAGTTCTCTTGACCAAGGCGTTGATATTATTGTTGGTACCCCTGGACGAGTTATTGATTTGATCAAGAGGGGTTCTTTGAATTTATCAGAAGTAAAGTTTACCGTTCTAGATGAAGCTGATCAAATGCTTAATGTGGGATTTGCCGATGATGTTGAGACTATCTTGGGATACATGACACAGAAGCATCAGACCATGATGTTTTCGGCTACTATGCCTAAATGGATATTAAAACTTACGCAAAAGTTCCTAAAGAATCCGGTTACTGTTGATCTTGTGAGAGTGCAGATCCCTGCTGTCTATATTCTTAGTTCTTAATTGAAATTTTTTTTCTTGCATGAATTATACTGCAGTTATGATTTTGTGGAGTTTTTTGTGGT